TTAAAATCCAATGTGTGGATCACATAATATTTCAAAAATTTTAACTTTTGAGTATAGATGATCCGCACTGTATTAAACTCGATAAGTCGGATCTTTATTTATATTATAAAGTACTTTAAACAATTGATTGCTGCGTCCGACTTATCGAGTTTAGATGTGTATGTTACTATTTCCGTTAAATCGGGGTTTTATTCACAGTGTATTAGTATTGTTGATACCACGTGATTTAATTATTCAGATATCTTGCTTTTCGATTTAGCGGGTGAATTTTTTTGGAACAAACGTATCCGTTAAATCGAGGTTCACCGTGTATTAGCATTGTTATGACATGCGCGTTATTTAAAAATGCATTGGTTACTTACGTAGCACTAGGGTCAATAAAGTCAACTAAGACGACAAAATTGACAAAGTCGACGAAGCATAATGGTAAATTTGGTCAACAGTCAACAAGTCCTCTAATTATAAATCATGTATGTAAACGAATTCAATTTAATAAAAGAAAATAATAACAAGTTTCGACTTGAGAAATAATCAAACCATGCCCAAAACTATTCTCTAGTAAATACCCCAAAAAATTAATCGGCGACACATGAAATCCAAAGTATAAAAATCGACTTCATCAAATTTTCACTGTTCCTAATTCCTCATGAACATAGTAAAATACATAAATACATGTATTAAAGAGAAATAAAATTTTACAACAAATAATTTTTTGAAAAAATTTTTCCATCTAAAAACCCTAACCTATCAATTAATGAAGTTAAATTTTTTAAAATAGAATAGTTTTTGACTTCTATACTTTTAAAGTTTGCACAAAATTTAGTAAATTTTGCATCGTAGTAATATTTACGCAAATACAAAATCTTATACTAATTGTTTCAATTTTAACAGAACTTATGGAAACACTCTAACTTTAAAACCTTTCAGAGGCATTTCCTGAGAAACAGCCGGTAGAACCTATCTCTACCAAGTTGAAAGGTGACAAAGTCAGGTGATTTATTGTATATTATTATTATCTCCTAATAAATGAATATGTTAATTTAAAAAATAAATAAATATATATTGTTAATATAAAGTGTATGAATTAAATGATCTGACAAATTTTAATATTAATTTGTTCCTTGACTATTAAGATTTGTCATCACTGGATTTCCAATAGTATATCTAAAATAATTTAAAAATATTAAAAATAAAATTCAATTAGTTGAAAAAAAAAAATAATTCAAATAATTACCATCTGGTATAACAAGATCATTTTGTTTAGTATAGTAAGCTAAAAAATAAAAGAAATAAATAAATTTCTTAAAAACATATATAATAATAATAGTAATAAATAATACATAGTGAGTCTCGTTTTAGCAGTTATTAGACTGATTTGATTAGTAAATCCATTATATTGAGAGAATTTACTCTGTTAAACCGAGACTTTTATCAGGCATATAATAATAAACAAAATTTACCTTCTTGTTGTTCTAATAAATCAACACCATTTTATAGGCGGTTAATAAATATTTAATAAATTAATGGGCGAATTAAATTTAAATATTTTATTAATAAATTCATACCTTGAGTAGCGTTTTTTGGAGAAGGAAGATTTGAAAAATAATGAAGTTTACTGTTAGCAAAATTTATAGTTACTGTATAATTTATAGTTTTTCTATTACTGTTGTTACTATTATTGTTATCGTCATTGTTGTTATCGTCATTGTTGTTATCGTCATTGTTGTTATCATCATTGTTGTTTTTATTATTGGTGTTTTTGTTATTCCTTAAAGATTTTATTAATTCAGCAATATTTGATGATCTGTTAAAATTAGTTTTAAGGCTTCTAATAAGTTTATATCTACTTTTGGAAGTAACTTTTATTTGTAAATTTTGATCTTTATTATACAAGTCTCTCAATATTCCTTTTGTTTCTATCCATAAAGCTTTTGCATCAGGTCTATTGTCAGGAATAGCATCCCAACATTGTTTTAGTAATTTTTTAAGTTTGTCAGGGAATTTATTTGGAATTTCTGGTCTTATTCCATTTAGGATATTTATTGCTAAATCTAAATCATCTGTTTTATTATAAAATGGTGGAACACCAGAAAAGATTTCCCACATTATTACTCCAAAAGCATAAATATCAGATTTCTGCGAGTAATTGCCTTTAGCTATTACTTCAGGAGCCATATAAGGTAAACAACCAAATATGCCTTCAATTGGTTTATCTTCTGGACCACACAATCCCATATCGCTGATATAAAAAATATTTGCATAAGAATGAAGTAATATATTTCCAGGATGTAAATCTCTGTGAATAAATCCCAAGTTATGAATTTCATTAAGATTAAGCATAAGACCATGGATAATTTTAAGTTTTTTAAGTAAACTAAGTGAAGAATGGTTTTTGGCCATATATTCTCGCAAGTTGTACTTATATTGACTTAAAATAAGCATAAATTCATTAGTTTCTGGGTTTTTTGTTAATCCATAACAACCAATAACAAAATCTGAATTAATATTAATTTCACAATGTGATTTAACCTAAAAACAATTCAAAATTAATTAATATCATTATATTATGAAATAAATTTAATTGTTAAATTTTAAATTTTAATATTACCTCATCTAACCATCTTTCATTTGTCTTTCTAATTTCCTTAAGAGCAACTTGTTGATCTCCTCTCCTTTCTAACTTCAACTCATTAGAATTCCATCGATTGTAAGGACCATATTTCCAAGTTGCAGTATATATTTTTGCATTCCCCCCTTCAGCTTTATATTTGATATCAATAAAATCTTCATATGGCACCCATTCAATAATATCACGTGGATTGAATGCTTTTTTTTGAAAAATTTGAATTAATTGATCAATTTCTTCATTTCCTGATGTCCAATTATCAAATTTTTTTACCAAACAATTTCTCATACAAGATTCACAATATGATGTAGCAACTACCATATTTTTACAAATTTTACATTTTCTTCTTTTGTTGCTACCTTCTTTGATATTTCTCCTGTCTATAAAATTATTTGCAAAATCATTTATATATTGCTTTTCAGATTTGGTAAACTTATGACCATAAAGAACATATCTTAAGCAAAATCTTATTTTTTTTTCTGTTATCTTTTGAATATCATAATCCATGAACACTTCTGATTTGAAAATAACTTCAAATATAACACCATACCTCAATGTTCTATCGCTCATTATGATAAAGAATAAAAAAAAAATAAAAAAAAAAAGAATTTAAGCAAACGGGAAATAAAAATATTTACACAATAATAATAAATCTATATAAACCTTTTTTCCTTACCAATTATAATAGGCTGTTACATAGAGTTACCAGTATATAAAATTCAATGTGCGGAATGTGCGGGTGTAACGTCATACATTAGTAGTTTTCTGCAGATAGTTTCTAAATTTGTAGAAATCTGCATTAGTTACACACTGAAATTTATACACTGAGAGTTACCATTCAAAGCTCCTACATTTAATTCGCTGATCAATAACCCCGAAAATCCGGAGTGATCTTTTCTATACTATTACTATTTTATATTATTTATATTATTTATTATTCATTTTTAATTTTGTTTTATTCTATATTTATTTGTATTAATTTTCCGAATGATTTAATTAATTATATGAGTTCGTGTTACATTCCGCAGAAGTAATTAATTAGTAACACGTTCGCATTAGACCTTTATTTAGAAGAAATTAATGAAGATTATCCTGAATCAGGACACATATAATCAAACATGTATATAAGGAATGAGAATTCGCTGTAATCGAAGAATAACTTTGTAACAAATTAACTTAATAATAAGTTAATAATTAGTTTCGACTAAATTACAAAATTAAATAAATCATTTTATCAATCAACTAAACCAAAATTATTCGCTAATTACAAAATCAATTCGTTGATAACCTATTCAATCTGATCCACATAAATCATTAAATATTTGTTATCACCCTTTAAAATACGCTCTCCCAAATTTAATCGGTGACAGTAGTTTGATTTTTTCAATATGTCACACTAAAATTTATTAAGCAACTGTTTGTCAATTAAAGTTTCGTAATAGTAATACAATCTTAATCTTAATCTTAATAATATTAATTCATTTGTTTTATTCGAATTATCTGAATCATTTCTAATTCCGTTCTAGACTCGAGATGCCATAGATTCGAGTCTCTTCTTGTAAATTCTCCAAGCCCTTTGTATAATCCTTGCATGTCCGAAATCAGTTTTGGGCCGAAGAAAATCATTATCCCAATGTTCCTGCATCAGGTCTTTAGGTTCGAGAATTTCCACATATCTTTGGCAACCATAGTGTGATGATTTTTCTAGACTTCGCATCATTAATTGAATAAGCCTCATATAATCTATACAGATTGCTATTCGATCTTATGAATCCTAGGTCTGTAAATACAGTCGAACCCTCGTTTCAACGGACCTCGTTTCAACGGATTTTCGTTTCAACGGATTTTATTAATTAAAAAATTCTCGTTTCAACGGATTTTATTAATTAAAAAGTTCTCGTTTCAACGGATTTTATATTTAAATCGCGTTTCAACGGACAACGGATTTTTTGGTAGGATTTTAGTAATAAG